CAGCTGGGTTATTTATCCAGGAGCCCTGTATCATGCAGGCCCCTGGCTGTACAGAGCTGCAAGTGGAGCTTCCCTCTGGACTTGAGCTGAAGGCTGTCCTGGCCATAACGGGGACCCTGCTCCTGGGGGGTGGGGACTTGGGGATGGCCATTCCCTCTGCTGGAAAGAGAATGGCTTTGGCATTTGACCTGCCTTAGCCACACAAGCCCAGCCTGCCTCTCAGCTCTGCCAATGGCTGGCACCTAATTGCAGGTTGTTTCATTGCTGAAGTGGTAAATCATTGATAATATTGTGATGAGTTTGTGCAACGCTCGTGAGGCGCAAGGGACTCCCCTGCCATTCCAGAAACGTCAGGCCAGGTTCCGGGGAGCTCGCAGACTCAGGCTACACGGGGGTTACAGCAAAGGGACCCACCAAGAGGGATTTACTCCACAGGTTGGGTAGACGAGGGCCTTTAAGACTGGGGGGTAGGGTTGCCAACTCTGTTCGAATCTATTCCGGGAGGTTTCATCACATGATGTAAAGACATTAACGACTTCATGTCAGGTAGGCATATGCACATGGCTATTCCACTTTAAAACCCCACTGGACTACTGTATCAATCAAATTCAACATTTAATATTTATATTAATGAATGCCCTATCATTTATCTCCCAGGTGACTCTCAGCAGCCTCCTGCAGATTTATCTTGAATTCCTGGAGACTCCAGGGCAATGCTGGAGGGATGGCAACCCTACCTGAAGCACAGGGCGAGAGTCTTGTGCAGCAATTTCTCGCCGTGCTGCCAAAAGCACCACACAAGGCAAGGGACCAAACACTAGCCACCAACAAAACCCTGTGTGTTGAAGCAGGATGCTGCAGCACCCACAAGCCCACAGCAGGGCAGGCACTGTCAGCAGCGTCAGCAGCACTTCTCTCAGGGGGTGCGCCACCAATCTCAGGGGGTGCGCGTGCACCCGTGTGCAGCCCCTAAGTGTCACCAATGGGACAGAGGACAAAGTAGCAGAAAACCAGAACATCCTCTCCGATGGCTACCCTCACCCAGCTTCAGAGGCCCCGTACGATGAAAACAATCCGTGAAAACGGAGGCTCCGTACAATAAAAATAACGCGCAAAAATGGATTTCCATGACATTTTAAAGATGAATTTTTGACATACAAAAAAACCTAGAACTTGTGGTTCCAAAACGATCCCTTCCATTAGACCAACTGGAAAATCATAAGCCAATTGTCCTTTTCTGCAAGGTTTCCCCATCCAAGTTCCTTTGTCCGGCTCTGGGGAAAAGTTGAGATGGTACAAGACGCTAAAAGGCATCATTTTGGCGCCAAGTGTTCTAGTTTTTTGTTACAGGGGTGCAGGCTATAGCTGTGTTAGTCTAAGGACATGGTGCGACAAGGTTCTTTGGGTGAATCTGATCTCTTTTATTAGAGCCACTTAGTTGCTAATAATTATTTTTAAAATTTCCAACTATTTAAGTGGGTCTCATAAGGTTCTTTGGGCAAATCTCTTCTCTTTTATTAGACCTACTTAAATTGCTAACAATTTTTTTAAAAATTCCAACTATTTAAGTGGGTCTTATAAGGTCCTTTGGGTGAATCTGATCTCTTTTATTACACCCGCTTAAGTTGCTAGCAATTTAAAAAAAAAATTCCAACTATTTAAGTGTGTCTTATAAGGTCCTTTGGGTGAATCTGAGCTCTTTTATTAGACTCACTTAAGTTGCTAACAATTTTTTTTTTTAATTTCCAACTATTTAAGTGTGTCTGTGTCTCATAAGGTTCTTTGGGTGAATCTCTTCTCTTTTATTAGACCCACTTAAGTTACTAACAATTTTAAAAACAATTTCCAGTTATTTAAGTGCGTCTTATAAGGTTCTTTGGGTGAATCTGATCTCTTTTACTAGACCTGCTTAAGTTGCTAACCATTTAAAAAAATGTTTCCAACTATTTAAGTGGGTCTCATAAGGTTCTTTCCGTGAATCTCTTCTTTTATTAGACCCGCTTAAGGTGCTAGCAATTTAAAAAAAAATTTCCAACTATTTAAGTGGGTCTCATAAGTTCTTTGGGTGAATCTGACCTCTAAGACCCACTTAAGTTGCTAACAATTTTTTAAAAATGTCCAACTAGTTAACTACTTAAGGTTAAATAGTCTCATAAAGGTTCTTTGGGTGAATCTGATCTCTTTTATTAGACCCACTGAAGTTGCTAACAATTTTGTAAAAAAATTTCCAGCTATTGAAGTGGGTCTCATAAGGTCCTTTGGCTGAATCGGACCTCTAAGACCCACTTAAGTTGCTAACAATTTTTTTTTTAATTTCCAACTATTGAAGTGGGTCTCATAAGGTCCTTTGGGTGAATCTCTTCTCTTTTATTAGACCCACTTAAGTTCCTAACCATTTTAAAAACAATTCCCAGCTATTTAAGTGGGTCTCATACGGTCCTTTGGGTGAATCTGATCTCTTTGGTCTGCCTAGTTTTCTGTTTGTCTGCTCGTCTCACACCCCCCCCCCCCCCCCCCCCCCCCCCCCCCCCCCCCCCCCCCCCCCATCTCAAAT